AAAAAAAAACCTTCCTTCACCCCTTGTTCTTAGAGAATACAAGGAAATATCTTGGTCTATCCTGTGTATATTGAACCCCTTTGAAAACTGTAGCAATTCAGTAGCAAAGAACACATTAAATAAGATTGGTAAGAGATTTCCTTGTTGCAAAAGGTTATACTCAAAAATAAATTCTCTGTGTGTAGTTTTTATCTTTTCTCCCATTTAATGTTGCTTGAAAAATGGAAAGGACATCCCTGCAAATACTATCTATCAAGTAAGTTTTATAGAATCACGGTCTAAAGGAGCCACCTTCTCAAATTGATCCCTTTCACTGAATTTAAAATCGTGAATCATTTTGACTTCTGGTTGATGCATTTGCTGATTGTAAGATACCAGACAAAGAATTACAGGCTATCTCATTTTTTCCTCAACTGAAAAATGGAAGCTATTAGGACCTACATGGCAGTTTGAATAATGTATGTGAAAGTACTGGATAAGTATAAAGATTTATACCGACTCTGATAAATTCTAATAAAAAGAGTGAATTATTTTCCCACTTAAAGAACTGGGTCTTCATCAAAGTTAAAAAGGCAGATGAAAGAGATATAAGTATATGCATAGATACAAATCTTATCTATTTGTACAGATGTGTGAAAATTTTAAAGTTTACTATAAAAATACATGTTTAAAACACCTGAACAGATGTAGCACAGCCATTTTATAATCCCCGTATTTTAAATTATTTGCTCCATGGAAACCAAGTAGTCTATTTGTGTACATTTCGTTTCCACTTATTTCCAAAGCGCGTCAGCAAGGGCTACCGCTGGGGCCGGGGCTCCAGTCTCCATCCTTGCTGCAGGCTACCACGACTCAGATCTCCACACTGGTTTGTTCTTCCTGCTTTGACTTCAGCTCTGCACCCCACATGTGTCAGATATGCTGCTTTGTTTTGGAGCACCCCTCACACACTGCTTGAATCCGCCAGTCCAAGACTATGGAAGTCAATTTTCTACTTAAATTTTCTTGGCCTTCAAAATAATTAAGATGCCCACTCACTGCTATTTAGAGCTAACAGTTATTTGTTTACCAGGACTCTGGCACATGTTTCTGTGTTTGAGCTAAGCTGGGAGGACAGGCTCTACTTTTGGTTTGGGTCACAAGACCCATGGGTCACATGGGGTTTCAGCTCCTTGAGCTGCCTTTGCAAACACTAGTAAAAACTAGCCTGTTACTGTTTGAAAATGAGCAAGATGTTGGGGGCAGAAAGAGACCATTGATGGGGTCTGACACCCATTCATCCTGTGGAGTTTCAGAGAAGAACTGAGAATGAACAGCCAAGTCATCTAGTTAAAATGAACTACACAGCTTCATCATTCTAAGGAAAAGTGGTGCCCCTAGAATATGGCTTGCTCTCCACCTGGATATTTAGAATGCACTAATCAGATAAATGCATTGTATCATTTCAGATTTACAAAGTCAAGTAGAAACACTGGGGCTAAGACTTCAGAGGGCAACGACAGAGGCGGACAACTACAAAGAAATGTTCATGTAAGATGTAAATTCCAAGCAGCCGGTCAGGCTACAATGTCCTGTGGACCAGGAGTGCGATTCAGATAGACCCCCTCGGTTCTCTGTGACTCTTTAAGCCGTGGTTTGTGTGTATGATCTATGGCAACTTTTCTCAGTTGCTTTCTTGCCTAGATAATATATTAAAGAAACCATAAGCATTTTAAGGCATGTGAAGTCTTTCATTCCCTCAGTAAGAAGTTCCCCTATACAGTTATTAAAACCTTCCCTGGTTATTCAAATGCAGTAACATTATCTACAATATTCTCGGAACTTTTTCTCTTATGGTTATTTCTTTAAAATGTCTCCACAAAAAAAGAGCATTGCAGTTGTTTCTTATAATTACCAATATTAGATTCATAAAGACAGTTGAATATCTTTGAAATGCTGGAGACTTATACTTTTTTTTAATATAATAGTTTATTTTTACATCATTTTGTAAATTTTTTTTTTCTCAGTTGTAATCCCCGTGGGTTTCCCATCACTGAGTCACCCATGTGCCATCACCGTAGTCCTGTGTACTGGAGACTTATACTTTATGGAAAAGAGAAAAATGTTGGAAATCAAATGATATGAAGATGCATTTATGAAATATCCAGAGCACTATTTCTTATGAAAATGAGTTTCAGAAATTTGAAAAATTATTCTGTAGTATAAATATAGTACATCTATAATTAGAACACAAAAATAGGATTTATATAATCTTTGAAAAGTAAACTCTTTTACTTTGTGGTATATAATCTGGTACCTCTGGTTTTCAGTTCCTGTATTTTGGAAGGATGAAACTCATAAGACATATAAATATTTAGAATGCTTAGCAACCAAATGTTGTGGTGACCATGGACTACTCCTAAGAATAATGTGTTTAATAAAATTCTTAACAACACAAGGAAGAACAAATTCAAAAATGCCCTGTCAAATTAACATATACTTGGTTTATTTGTAGCAAAATAATTTGTTTTTGAAAACAAGTAAAACCAAAGAGTCCTGCTTTATAGTACTGTGGTCAGGCATGCAATATATAGGTTAGTCCAATGGTCTGTGTATGATGACTGGCTGAAGGATTGAGTGGACAGAGAGGTCCTTAGATGACTTTAGAAGTAAGTGTCTGGGTGCAAAGAAACATGAGGGAACCTTCTGGCTATGGCCAGAAAGAAGTCATTATTCCCCACCCTCTAGTAACATCAGTGAGGGCTTTGGCCCTACCTGAGGACAGCCTAGGTAGACCGCAGCTCCTGTGCAACTTATAACTTAAAGGATGCTTCTACTTTCAAGATAGTAAAGGACAGGGGCTGGCGATCAGGGAGTAGGAGGTGTCGGACCAGCCCCCTGATAAATTAAAGGGAGTTTGTGGACAAGCCAAGACAGCATTTAGATGGAGGGCTGGCAAGTTAGGAGGAAGCCACCCACAGAGGTAACTATACTGAGGAACAGGGAGAAAGCTCATTGGTGTGACACGAATTCATTTTCACTGAATAAGTTTACACAGCAGTCTCTGCATTTGCAAGGAAACTTCCATTAATATTAATACATACTTTTGGTATACTTTGTTAATTATATTTTTAACACAATTTCTAATGTGAGTGGTGAGTAATGTTAAGAGTCTCAGAGTAAGCTAGAATTACCACCTAACTAAATTCCATCAAGTGAACCACAATATAATTTCAGAACTACTGACATATTAGTTTATGAATTGGGTTCTTCTGTCTATATAAGAACTTGTTGAATTTAGAAAATAGGCAGAATACCCATATTTAGAAAATTTGAATTATGACAGAGCCACTTAAATGTCCTTATCTGCTGGGGACCTGTTTCTGTGTCGCCTATTTCTAACTCTTCCATGCCTACATGCTCTACCTTGACCTCTAGGATGAAGCTGAGTAGGGTGGACCCAAAGGTCAGAGCCCTGGAAGTTTGGGAGCTAGGAGTGAGGAGGTCCCCAGTGGTTCATAAGAACTACCATACTTATAAGTTAAAACCAAGTGTGTGACTTGGCCCTTGTTTAACAACAGGTTAAATTTGATGACAAAAATAATTCTTTCAAAAATTTTGGCTTACAATTTGTTAACAAACTGGCATTGACTACAGGTATACAAACCTCTTTGAAATTACAGAAGTTAGGAGGTGTTGTGAAGTCAGTTCTCTTTAATTTTTTTTTTTAAAGATTTATTTATTTGTGCATACAGAGCTGGAGTACAGGCCAGAAGTGCAGGAGTGGTGAGAAGATTCACCAGAGACAGAGTGGGGAGCAGAGCAGGCATATCTTTGAAGTACACTGCTGAGGGGAGCAGTGGGCAGGTCAGGAGAGGTCTGCCGCGCCATGTGGATCACCTGTGGGGCGGGGATTGAACTCATGTGGAAGAGGCTTTAGCTTCTTAGTGCTGTGCTTTAACCTGCTGGGCCACCAAGGAGGCTTTAGCTTCTTAGTTCTGTGCTTTAACCCGCTGGGCCACCAAGGAGGGCCTCCCTTTAAATTTTTAATCCACACACTTTATCCCCAGGAGTGGAATGAGAATGGATTTCACCTATCCAGCTCAAGATTTTTTGTTGCTTGAATTGTTTTAAGTCCTCATAAGTATTATGAATTTTACTTAAAGGGAATAGGAAGTTTATAAATGGGTGGTGAACTTGAATATCCGTGTTTAGAACTCCACCCCCCACACACACACACCCCGAGGTTTATAAGAACTTATATGCATTGGAAACTAGAGGTTGTCAGTTAGGATGTGTTTGTCCACAAGTAGCAGAGGTAGTTGCTTCAGGTCCAGTGGGCTGGTGGCGCAGCCGTATCTCCAAGCATGTGATCTCTGTCTCTACTCTATATCCCTGACTGGCTTCACCCCAAAGCTTGCTCCTTATGAAGAGATGGTACAATTCCAGGTATCACCTCCAGATGTAGCCATCCCAGAGGCAGGAAGGTCCTACATTTAGAGTGTCTCCTTCAAATGAGAAGTCATCAAACAGGCCTGTTCTTACATTTCTTTGACTAGAAGACCCCCTTCAGTCTCCTCCCTAAATGAATCACTGGCAACAACTACTACAGTTAGCTTAGACAAATCAGGATTTATCTGGCAGCAGACAGTAGTGGGGCTTGAACAACCATGAAGAAAGGGAGTAGTGCTTGTCTGGAAGGTAGTCAGCAGTGTTTGCAGAAGAGGTGCTGATGATGCCTGGAGTCGATCATGACATTTTCTACACATTTTATTTGTAAGTAGATTTAATTATCTGGATTGATTTAGGGAAGACCTCCTTGAAGCAGTGAAAAATTAGATGTTATGAAATATAAATTTGTTGCATATTATATAATTTTATTTTTATTATAATGTGTTAATATATAGCATGTTATATTTAGCTTAGGAGTGTACTTTTTCTGCTAGAGCTATTAAGATAAACACAGATAAAGAAAGCTAAAAAAAAGTCTGCCATAAATGATAAGAAATTTTAGGAATTCCTGAAAGAGAGTACATCAGGACAATAAAAAGGTTCAACTCTATAGAGTTGTTTTATAATGAGGGAAATAACTCATCTTAAAAGCTACTTTTTAAACAAAAGAAAAAGTTAAGACAATGTTAAGAAATAAAATTGCAAAGAAAATTAAAATTATTACCCTAAAATTCGTGAGAATGCTTCCTTTTGGGAGGGGGCAATTGGCTGTGATTGGGACTAGAGACATGATGCTTTTAGAGTAGCTGGTAAGGTTTTATTTTTTGACTTAATGGTACTTACATGAGTGTGTGTCTTGTAATTGTTATATAATTTTTATGCAGCTTTCTACATCTGAAAACTTTCACATTGTACATTAAAAACTTTTAGAAATTAAGTTTTTCATGTTCATGATACAAATAAATTACTTATTAGAAATTAGTCATTCTTCAATTAGGGAAAACTCTTGGATAGCCTAACATTTCATTGCCGTTTATAAAAGGTTTTAAGCTATATTGAGCAATGATTTATAAGTAAGCAGTCTAAATAAACTTAACTAAAATATTAATTCTTTAATACATTAACTTTTGGAGTATTGCTATATAATCACATAAGATCAAAACAAATGTTTGCTTCAGTTTTATAATTTCCTCTTTTTAAAATGGTTTAATATCTCTGCTGAGATTTATAATCTTTTTATTTATTAATAATAATAGGTTTCCTTGATATCTTTGAGCAGAGTTGTAATTAAAAGCTCCTTGTCTGATAATATCAGTATCTGGGTGTTCTTGGAGTCAGCTCTGCTATTGTTTTTCTAAAAAATTATCATACTTCTTATTTCTTCCTAAGTTGAGCAATTTTTATAATATTCTGGACATTGTGAATGTCATTTTGCAGAACTCTGGATTCTGTTATATTTCTCCAAATGGTAAGAGTGTAATGGGGATGTGAGTGAGGCAACTTTAACAACTAATTTGGTTGGCACTAAGCTGTGAACTCTGCCTGTGGGACAGCTTTTAACTAATGCTTGGGGTGCTTGTAGCTCAGGGCTCAGCTAGATGTGTGGGTAGAGTTTGCAGGCAGGATTGGGGCTCCTTCTTCCTTAGCTCTCATTTCTTCAATATTCACCCTTCTTTCTCTAGAAACTGTGGTTTTCCCAAACACTGTTCTCTGTGCTTCCAGTCAGAACAACTGTGAGTTTTCAACCAGGAGTTGAGTTTCCCGGCATGGTATAGACAGGGGCTCACCCTCGGATTTAAAGTCATTACACAAAAAAAAACAAACTAAAGTAAACCCTGACCCCAGGCTGTCATCTCATTCCAAGTGTCAGTTTCTTTGTTGAATCTTCCCACTTTTGCCACTTTCTAATACCTTCATATACAGGCTTTTCTATTATTTTTCATGCTGTCCAAAATTTAGGCTTTTCACTTAAGTGCAGATCAATTGGATGGACGTTTATTTGGCCATTACAGAAGTGAACTGAATTTTTTTTTTAAGAATGAGATGCTATGAAATAATGCTAAGAATTTTTTTTCCCCATGGATAAATAAAATGATACAGAAAAAAAGCATATAGTAAGACCTGCAAATTAGTCTGTTATTTTTTTTGGCAAAGAAGAATTCTTTGATTATATCTTCCTAATTTGAAGGAATTCTGCATACTTAACCCCCAACAGAATATCAAGATAAGAAAAATAATAAAGGAAAAACATTTAAGGAAAGCAAAACATGTGTTAACTATTTTGAGATAAAATATTTGAGCCTTTTTTTGTATTCTTTTAGGAATAAATCTAATGAAGTTGATGACTGTCAAAGAGAACTTAGAAAACTGAAGTTCGAATCCATTATTTCTGACTCACGGTATATATTGCAAATTTATTAATTAAAATTTTTAGTAACTAATCTTGAAACCATAGTTACTGAACATTTAATTTTTAAAATGTACATAGCTTTTCTTACTGAATTGTTTACATAGCCAGCACCCAATTTGAGTTTATATATCTTGAAACTCTTGATTGATTTCGCTCTGACTAGATGGGAAACTTTAATATTACTGGAATATTCAATTTTCTTGGCATTCTTTTTAAAAATTAGTTTATAGCTTTGTTTCAAATGGATTTTTTATATATGTTTGGTAAGCATGAAATACATATTGGTGAGGTTTTTCACCTTTTTTCATTTTAGGCACACAAGATTGCTTAAAGAAAAAGAAGATTCTTTAATGGCTTGTCAGCAAATGTATAAAACTTTACAAGAAGAACTAACTGCAAAAGAAAGGCAAGAAGAGGACATAAAGAGAAGAATTAACCGTGCAGAAAATGAACTAGAGATAACCAAAGCTCTTCTGAAAAAGACACAGGAAGAGGTCATAGCACTGAAAAATGAAAGGTGCAGTAAAGAATAATTCCTTCCAAAAATATTTTTATGTTTAAGTCAGTATTCTGTAGACTTGAAACATCATGTTCTTACATGTTTTAGTAGCATTGAAATCACAGAATTTCTTTCAAGATGTATTTCACCTGAAAGTTCATCACAACCCTCTACCTGATTATCCACAGGTGACTAAGTGAAGTCATATTGGTTAGATGTATTCACACCATTACTGAAAGTACAGGCAGATTTTTATTGAAAAGAATCAAAAGATCTATGTGGTATTTATATTACTGAATTTTACCTGGGCCAATAATTAGTGGGTTCTGTCATTTTCCAACAAAAAATATATATAACACACATATAAATTTACACACACACACACACATATATATGTACATCAGATATGTGTGTGTGTCCTACATATGTGCGTATATATATGACTGTGTTCTTTGATTGAATGTATTCTTCCTCTCATTTCTTGTGATTCATGAAAACCTCTTATCGAGAGCTTGCTGCAGCAAGGACCCTTGTGGTACTGATGTAGTTTCACAACAAACATTCTCACGGACACTGCCAAGGTATTTTTGCCAAGTTAATCTGTCTTTAAATTAACCTTGATATCTTAGCCCTGCTTCTTTACTTTCTGTTTTCATTTGCTTGTTATGTCTTTTCTCATTCTTTATGTCTTTACTCTTTTTTTGTTTTAAAAGCATACCTAAAACATAGCACAAATTTGGGGTTTTGTTTTTCAACAAATCTTTGAGTGTTTAATAGGAGATATTATCTTCTTTACATTTATTTATTACTATATTGCAGGACAATACAAGTTCCATAGAGACAGGCATTTTTGTCTTGCATTATTTTCTGTATCAGAAGGCACACGAGACTTTTCCTTCTTCCTATCATTTTTATCTTTCAACTTACTTTTTATTTTATTCATTTCATTTTATGAGTAATCAACTGCTTTCCAAATTCACAAAGTTTTTAATTTTTTAGTTCTTTAGTAAGGGCAGCTAATTGCTACCAGAGGGAGAGTTTGAGGTTGTACCATGAAAGTAGGTAACCAGGAGCTTAAATGAAGATCTCATCTTCAACACTTTCTCATCAGCAGTCTGCTGTCTCTACTCCTGCCTTGCAGAGGTCTGTCTAGTTCACCGGGAAACAAGGCTTACTTCTGGCCCACTCTGGAGTGATACTTGCTTGCTTCTCTTTGAGTATGATAAACACTGATGAGATGACTGCCACCTATCACTTCTTCTGCTGCATTCCTCATACCGGTAAACTTCTTCCTGAAAAGATGGTGCCCTGGAGTTACCCATCTCTTCATCCTCCAACACCATGTCAGATTAGATCATGGCTCATCCATAGCTACTAGAAGCAGCAATTATATAAGCAGGACATTTGCAAGAGCCAGCCTTCCTAATAACTGGAAGGAATGGCAACTGAAGAGCGATCATGCAATAAAGAGAGAAAATCTATGAATACAAAGAAAAACTTTAGAGCATTGCAATTTAGTCCTGTATACAATAGAGACAGATGGCCTGAGTATCCCTGTGTTTATAACATGGGTGACAGTTGATAGCCACAATGATGATCCTTTCTAGCCACAATGACTAGAAAGATGAAAATCAGGGACAAAGGTACAGAACCATAGAAATGACACCATTTTCTGTTTAGAATGTGTTATCTGAGCAGTAGTTTTACATTCCTATATACCTAGAATTCTCCATTTCCAATGATACCAGATTAATTAGACTTAATATCCAGATAAACATGATCTTCTTGACAGTGATCCTTGAGAATTTTCTTTGTTCTCATGTTTCTGGAACTCTTCTCTGAGGACAGTGGGGTTGGTTTGAAATAGTACACTCCTCTAGGTACATATGCTTTGCTGTATTTTTTTTTAAAGATTTATTTATTTATTCATACAGAACTGGGGTACAGGCCAGAGATGCGGAAGGTGACAGAATTCACCAGGAAGGTGACAGAATTCACCATGGACAGAGTGGGGAGCAGAACAGGCAGATCGATGAAGTACACTGCTGAGGGGAGCAGCGGGCAGGTCAGGAGAGGTCTGCCACACCATGTGGCTCTCCTCTGGGGCAGGCGGGGATTGAACTCATGCGGAAGTGGCTTAAGCTTCTTAGTGCAGTGTTTTAACCCGCTGCACTACCTGGGAGAGCCCGCTTTGCTGTATTTTTAAATTTTTGTATGAGTTCAGTTTTACCTTCTGTTAACTAAGGATAGTTTAACTTTTCAGAGAACAGACACATTATTGAACTTCCTCCACCTCTTTCCCCACCCTTCCACCTCTCCTCTTAGCCTTTTCCTTCTTTATTCCCTACTTTATCCAAATCAAGTAGCTATTTCTTAGTTTACTGACATGATATTTTCATATAACAGAAAAAAGATCTACTTATAGAACCATGAGGTATCCTAGGATTACTCCAAGACATAAGATTGTCCTTCTCTGTCCTAGGCCATGTTCAGATTTTCTCTGCCTCACTCTTCACTGTACCCTCAGAGTCAAAAACTTGTTGAGTGAATGAATGACTTATTTGGGTATTTCAGCCAGTCAGCAGTTATTTATTGAGTACTTCTGAGGCTCCCCAATGCTGTGTGACTTCTCTGTCCTCATGAAGCCTAAGGAGTGGCAGAAAGGAAGAGAGAGACAGAAGTGTGGGGAACTAAGTAGGACAATTATAAATTGTGATATGAATGGGAAAAAATGCTATAGCATAGAGGGGTGGTCATGGCAATACTTTTGAGATGACATGTAAAGAAAACAGTAGAAGTTCCCAAACCAAAAGCAGAGGGGAGTTTTACAAGCAAAGCCCAGACAGAGACCTTTGGGAACCTGTGCTGTGAGGGGAGGGCAGCTCAAGAGCAAGCTGGGACTGGGGCTGGGGAGCATTCAGGGCCCCCAGTGTGTGGGGGTTATGTCAATGCCGTGAAACCGTGGGCAGGGGTTGAGCGGAGGAGTAGCACTGTGGAAAGTTCATTCTAGCTGGAGAAGATATTGGCAGCAGGTGAGGTGAGTCAGGTTGTTCACTGTTTTGATGTTCATCAAAGGATTTACATCGAGTCAAGCCTAGGAGACAGAAGCAAAATTAGCATGGTCATCTCCTGCTCCTGCTAGTCTCTGCTGGATTATTTAAGTGTCTGTACTGAGTGCCTGGCAAACTAGCCGGGGCTCACTCCAGGTTGAACCTAAAACGGGGCGGTGAAAACCAGCTAAAAAGATTCACTGAAAGACAGGTGACCTTGCAGAGCTTTGACATCACTGTCCAGACCTGACTGAAATGTCATGTCCTTTGACTCGGGCACACCTGTCTTTCGGCTCCTTCCTGTCTTTTGGGTCCTTTCCCTTCCCTCCTGCCACCACCCCCAGCAGACATTCCATGAGGCTTCTGTGTGTGAACTTGATTTCCGCTCTCCACTTTCTTTCCTTCAGTAAATTGTTCCTCAACTGAGCAAGTCTGCACCTGAAGTTTTGATTTGGAGCACCTCTAGGACCTCTGAATGGAGGAGTTCCTGAGCAATAGTAGATTGGAAAGTCCTTCCAAAATAAGAAGCTGGACTTAGGAAACACTTAAAATAGAGATACTTGACGACACCGCAGACAAGCTGACTGACTCCACAGGCGTGGGTGGCACCTGGACCTGCCCAGCAGTACGTGGAGGCACAGCACGTGCACTCCCCAAAAGCCAAAGCACCTTGGTGGCAGTGACAGTGTTAGCGTCTGTAAATTCAGGTCACCCCTCCCCACAGTCTCTTCCTACAGCAAAACCCTGGCTGACGTTGCCGCCAAGGCCATTTGAAAATGCACAATTTGGAAGCCATACAACTTCAGAAGAGAAGAAGGAACACCCAAAAAGGCAAACTAACCTTAGATGAAAAGCACTGACAGAAATGAATTTGGAGCAGGAAAGAGTGAGCAGAAGGAAATTCATACTCTAGTACAGCTCTATTTAATTTTGTGCTGTTTTTCCCCCCACACTCACCTTAGAAAGCTCCAGTAGGAGAGGAAGAGAAAGAGAAGCCAGGGCCTCAGAGGCAGGGGTAGGAGGAGAGATCTGGCCAGCTGGGTCATGGCACTGGGGCTGGAGAGAGGGGTCACCTTTGTGGACAGGGTGGGCAGGGTGCCGCAACAAGGCACAGGAAGTAGTGAGGTTGCTTTTAAATTCTTTTTTTTTAAGATTTATTAATGCACACAGAACTGGGGTACAGGCCAGAGGTGCAGGGGTGGTGGGAGGATTCTCCAGAGACCGAGTGGGGAGCAGAACAGGCAGATCAACAAAGTACACTGCTGAGAGGAGCAGCAGGAGGGTCGGAAGTCTGTTGCGCCATGTGGGTCACCTCCCTGGCAGGGATCAAACTCATGCTGTGGTGGCTGTGATAGCTTCATAGTGCTGCTCTTTAACCCGTTGCACTACCAGGGAGGGCCCAGCTCTTAAATTCATTGCAAAGCACAGCTTTCATTCTCTGGGTGCAAGGGCTCTCTGTCTAGAACTGTGAACCCCAACACCCTTTAGCATATTGGGGATTAAATAGAGTTCTGTGAACTGGCCTGCAGTCCTAACTCCATTTTTATGGAAAGTTATTTCTGTGGTAAAACCTACTGGGAAGTCCCAGTGGCCAACTTACAGATACATTTTGTAAGGACAGAGGAGTTTAAGCTCGGAAACTGCCCCCACGTAGTTCTGGAGAAGGTCACGCATGTGCTCCCGTGCCCCCCGCCTGGTGCCCACCACAGCTGCTTGCGCAGCGCTTATACCCATCCATTCCCGAAATCTGTGCCAGCCTTTGGCAAATTCCTAGGATAAATAGAGAAAAATACAGATGAATGCGATTTATTGCCAATAACATAATGGAATTAGTAAAGTTGCATTGTTGGAAGAAAAACTTATTTGTGACTAGTCAAGTGCAAGTGGCTCAGATGTAAATTATTCTGCGAAGTGAATGATGCATGTCTGTATCTGTCTCGCTACTTACCTACTTAGATGAAGTTTACT